CACTCACCTCAGCCTCCCAAGGTGTGGGATTACAGGCTGAGCCACCGAGCCCGGCTGTTTTTTTGTTTTCTATTTGACACTCCATGGTATCACCTTACAAGCCTTAAGAGAAAAATAATTACCAATTTTTGATTATAAAAGTAATTTGTGTTTGGGAAAGGACATTTGAAAAAAAACAAGAAAAATATGAAGAAGACAATTTTTTTTAAACCCATAATCCTACTAGGTATCATCTAGCTATTTTCCTATATTTTTGTATATTTATATTAACATTTTAACTTATTTTTCCTAATACGTTGCAAGGATTTCCTCATATCTTTAAACATTCCTTAAGAAAATTATTTTAAATTGCTGCATGGTATTCTGTCATATGAATATGTTATACTTTACTTATTGGATATGTTTATTTCCAGGTTTTCACTCTTATTAAAAGTGTAGTAAATCCGTGTGTATTAGTCTATGTATAAAGAGGTCATCATTTCCATAAGTCCATAGAAGTGATGGGGATTATTGGATCAAAGAAAATGAACATTTTAAAGGTTTTTGAAGCACAATGCCAAATTAACCACTAGAGAGTTGTACCAATTTAAAGGTCCCCTAAGCGCATAAGAGTGTACCTGTTTTTTCCACCCTCAATGCTAGGCATCATTATTTATACCCAGGGATAATTTCATTTGAATATCTTTGTTGCATCGTGAGGTGAAATTTTTCTTACTCTGTCGCCCAGGCTGGAGTACAGTGGGCACACTCATGGCCACCGCAGTCTTGACCAACTCAGGTGATCTTTTTGTCTCAGCCTTCCAAGTAGCTGGAATTACAGGCATGTGACACCACGCCTGGCTAATTTTTTGATTTATTGTTGAGATGAGGTCTCACCAAGTTGCCCACACTGGTCTCGAACCTGTGGGCTCAGGCAGTCCTCTCACTCGGCCTCCCAAATTGCTGGGATTATAGGTGTGAGCCACCACATCCACATATGTATGCACTTTGTCTCTTTTTCTTTTGGAATGTTTTCCTTATTGAATTGAAGCACTTTTTATTTATTAAGGGAATTTTCTTTTGACCAAATATTTTTCCAGCTCATTATTTGCATATTTACTTTCATTATGGTTTTTGATAAAGTTTTTTTTTAACTGCTGTTATTGCTTTTAAATTTAGTTAGCTCTGCCTCTTGTTTATGCTTAAGTAGAAGTGCGTCCCATAACTTAAAACAGGTAAATTTTCATCTACAATTTCTTTCACTACTTTTGTTGCTTAAAAATTACCTCCTAACTGGGCTCAGTGGCTCAGCCTGTAATCCCGTGCCTTTGGGAGGCTGAGGTGAGTGGATTGCCTGA